AATGCCAAATAATCCTTCTGGGAGTGTATTACACATGTGAATTCAAGTCCATCTAAGGTATAATTAGAGAAAAGACCAACTGTTTACAGCAAAACTCTCAAAAGGCCTCAAAATGGGGTTATTTTTAATCTTCTGAAGAGTCTCTATCAGTACTTCCCTTCCTCCTAGCAATTTGGACCAGAATGACAAGCAGCAGTAATTGAAGGATGAGTCACTGGATACATGGAAGGTGAGACACCATAAGCAACAGAGGGCCAAGAAACAAGCATTTTTTAAAAAAAAAAAAAGGAGAGGGAGGGAGGGAGAAATAAGTCTTATTTTATTTTGCCTCTAGGCTTGTATCTGTCTGTTTGGAAGATTTACAACGGCGCCATTCATGCCAAGTTTGCTAAGGGTCTGTTCCATTCAGATTTTTGTTTTCACCATATTTTTACTCAATTTTTACAAGGCATTGCCAATCTTTTTTAATAAACTGGTCCCAGATCAAAAGAGGAAAGAGTTGACATTTCATGAAATAAATGGACAATGGGGGAAAGAATCAAATAAATAAGAACTGAATAAGTGGACACTGCTGTGCGCAAAACCTAAGCATGTAGAAGTAAATGACACTGTTTCCCACAAGGCTTACTCTGTGGTATGTGATTCTTTCCAGAGTAGTAGTAGTGGTCGTGACAGGAACAGGAATGATGAAGGCTCTGGTAGTGGAGTTTACAAATTGATCTGCTTGGTACCCATATTATAAGGATAGCTGTGTATGCAGCTTCTAGGGCAGTGGTCCCCAACCTTGGGCCTCCAGATGTTCTTGGACTACAAGTCCCAGAAGCCTTCACCACCACCTCTTCTGGCCAGTATTTCTGGGAGTTGAAGTCCAAGAACATCTGGAGGCCCGAGGTTGAGGACCACTGTTCTAGGGTACAACTAGGAACCTGTAATATTTGGCTTCTCCTTCTAACCAAACCAGAAATGGCAGACACCAAGACATGTCTGACATTGCATAGTAACACCTGTGTACGATCAAGTTGGAACTGACTTGTAGTGACCCTAATAGGACTTTTGATGTTACGAAGGAGGTTAACCTCTTCCACACACATCGAATGCGTTTCCATGGCCAAGTGGAAATTCAAACCCAAGTCTCCTGAGTCTTGGTCCATTGCTGAATCTACTACACCACACTGGGTATTCGCTGTTTATTATTATGTGTAGGAACAAAGACACTCAGGAACCTCCAGCCTTCTTCCCAACTTCGACCTTGACATACATTACTGTGGAGTGGCTGTATCAAATCATTCTAAAAATGTGTATAGTGAGAGTCAGCATTTGAAGGGCTGGTGTGAATTGTGCCTCCTGACACTGCTCTTCACTGCCCTAACAGATTGAGAAATCTTTTCTGCATAGAGTTTATCAGTTGTAAGTTCAGAGGCTCTCTCGGTGTAGAAATCTTCATCTTATAGGGTTCTATGGTATCTGTGAAGATTTTCAGTCATCCAGGTGAGGTTATCTGGACGTTGAGGAATGACAATTGGACTTATTAGGTTGAAATGTTTTGCTACTCATCCAAGTAGCTTCTTCAGTCTGAGGAGAGTTGGTAGGAGATCTCTGATATATCTTCCACATTGGTTCTAGGGTACAACAGCACAAATAACACACATATAGCCTCTGTAAACAAAGGAATATGACTCACGATCTTTGCACACATGGAAGGTTCTTCTTGGTGGTGGCACCCTGCCTGTGGAACATCCTTATTCTGGAGGTTTGACTCTCCTTGACAATGCTGCCATTTTGGGCAGCAGCTGGAAATAGACTTATTTATGAAAGACTTGGGTGTATATGCAAGTCCTTTTAGTTGGTTTTTGTTTGATGTTGC